ATGCACTGATACCAATCCATATTCCCTTTTCCCCCTTGTCTCACGTTGTCTTATGGATGCATCTTAAGTGCCCATTGCCATTTCACACCTTGCAGTTGACTTTTCCCCATTGAGTGTGATATTTTAAGAGACAACAGAGGATGTCTGTCCATGGTGGCGTGCCCATGTCATAGAGGCTGTCATAGATGCTGATAAAGTATGCTGGCAAGGGAAATTCCACCCCATTCATGGGTTTTTATATTGTCTGTGGTGACTTTCAGGCTACAGCAGCAGATTTGAGTAGGTCCAACAGAGACCATTGACCTGCAAAGGCATATTCAGCATATGGTTCTTTCACTAATGTCTACCAACCTCTGAGTTAAACTGTCCCTTCTCTTGACCTAGTAGGGCCTATTAGATTTTGGGACTGGTTGGCAAGAAACAATGCGTACACGTGGACATTTACTTAGAACTGTTTATTCATCTATGATGTTGATTCATTATAGTCATTAATTCCACTCTTTCTACTTTCTACTCATATATCACAGAAGAAATCACAAAAGATTTCAGTAGCCAATTCAGTGTGAGTACTTGATATGGATAGTGATTCTTTTCTTTTTTCTTTTTTTCTTTTCTTTTCTTTTTTCTTTTCTTTTCTCTTCTTTTCTTCCTTTCTTTTTTTTTTTTTTTTTTTTTTTTTTATAAGGACATTGTCGACAGTAATCTGTTTGGTCAAATCATGGCAGTATCATAATGGGACCCATGGAGGGAACTGAGGGCGGAGTCCCCATTGTTCAACTTTCTTCTCCATAACAAACTCCCCGTGAGGCCCCTTAGCATCCAAGGGCAAAAGGGCCAAGTAGACAGGAGTCTCTGCTCCTTCTTCTACGGTTTTGATGCCTTTTGGCCCACCCATGTCTGTTCTCACCCACCCAGGGCAGCAGGCATTCAGGAGGATCTTGTCCCCTCTCCTCTGCTCACTCAGTTTCCTGGCATAGATTCTGGACAGGACTGTGAGACCCATCTCTGACACTCCATATGTGACTACTTTCATATCAGGCCAGCCCTCGTTCTGGTGCACTCCGTTCTTTACATCGTCCACAAACTTGTTCATGAGCCCCACCAGCTCCTCCTCTGTGATGGTCTCACTTCTGAACTTCTGCTGCAGTCCTGGGCTACAGTATTCAAGAGCTACAAAGCTCATTATACTAGACACATTGACCACTCTGCCTAAAATACAACACAAATAAATCACATAGAATGGCATCCATGAGAATGATGAATACCAAATTTGCTAAAATCTGTCCATTTGGGAGACAATTACCAGTTTTCTATGAGTGTTAATGAAGACTGTAAGTGAAGAACATGAAAATTGTTATACCCTTAATATCTCACATAATGTCAGAAAAAGAATCTGATGGGGAGGCAGTGCCCAGATGTTCCCTAAAAAAAAGAAAATGGCTTATCCAGTAACATGTTAAGTGGACTGTAAGGAGGCACTCACGCATTCATGAATAGAGATTCACTTTTCCTTCACAGGTCCCCTTTGAAACCCCCTAAAAATCTTATGGTCACTTAGATGATGTTGTATGAACAGATGTTTATTGACCAACAAAGAGCTGATCAGTTTATTGAAGGCCTTTCGAAGGTGAAAGCACTGCATTGATAGGCTGTCACTCTGATGAGCCAGGAAAAGCAAACCACCTCACTGGGCTGACTTGCAAGCTATTTTCTCTATGTTTGTGATTTCATCAACTTGGGAGCAATGACAGAATGCCAGGCAATGTGGTCGTGGAAAGGAGTGGAAAACGGACATGTTAAAGAGATGCCATAAAAAGAAATGACGTACATGCTACAACATGGATGAAAACTGACAACATTGTCCAACGTTAAAGAGGCCAGTTACACAACACCACTCGTTATGTGATTCTGTGTATGAGATGTCCAGAACAACGAAGTCTAGAGACAGGGAGTAGATTGGTGGTTGCTTAGGGCAGGGGAAAGGGGTAACAGAGGGCCGATAGCTAAGGGCAAAGGTCTCCTTGGGGTGATTTCAGTGTGCTAATCTTGAAGTTGTGATGGTTCTACAACTCTGTCAATACTAAAATCCAGTGAATTGCATACCTGAAATGGGTGAAGTGTATGGTAGGTGAACTTTATCTCAATAAAGCTATTAAAGGTGCAAAGCAATGACACATTTCTCACTCACTGTTTTTTAAAAATATATCAGTAGTCATAAAAATGACATTATATTGACATATATAGTTTACTATTTTTACATTTAAATATTGATTGTATTTTTATATTTCAGTGAGTACTTTTAGATTATAAAAAAAGTCAAAAGGTACAAGAAAATTAGGAAACTTTCCCTTTTTCATGTAAATATCCAGGAAAGACAGTCATGGTCACTTAACTCTGAGCTCCATCCCACTAAGGAATGGCAGTGCCATACAAGTTCAGTGGGAGAGATCATGCATGACCCTGTGGCTCTCATTGGTGGTGTTTAGAAATAATGAAAATGAATTATATAAACTATCTTATGAATGTAACAGTTTTCTAAGCTGAACACCTTTTAGAAAGGGGTCTGTTATTCCAGTCCTTCCTTTCATCTACAGTGTATTTGGTGTAGGATTAACAGAACATGTTTGTCAAATGTTTCAGAAGCACCTCTCAGGTTTTATTACTTACCACTAAACATATTTATTTTATTTTCAAAAATATTGTATGCCTGGGTAATAATATAATAAACTGTGTTTCATGATTCAGAATTGCAACACAGAGAAAGAAATCTTTGAAAAAGAACAAGACTGGGGCAGAGGAACCCACACTGGGGTAACTGGTATGCCTCGGTGTTGTAGATTCTTATTTTGTTATTGTGGCTACGTTATTTCAGTAACCCTCTTTTTGAAGAAAGGATTAAAAAATGATAATATCTACTATCCCTCAATGTCCTTAAGGCCATAATTCTGCCTTTTGGTTTGTCTTTCCATGTCAAGAAACAGAGCAAACATCGGCCTTGTGAATGGATTCTGAGCCCATAGAGATCTGGTTAACAATTAACCTACCTTGGGGTCTCATTAGAGGCAGCAGTTCTGTGCACACGTCTCGGGTACCAAAGAAGTTTGTTTTCATCGTCACTTTTGCTTGAATATGTAAGGGGGTGGGGTCAGCAACTTGTAGGGGAGAAGGAGAATAGGTTAATAAGTAGTAGCCATTGAGAAAATTTGATGCAGTGACAATAGCATTTGTGTGTAATCTGGTGCATTTTCAATAGTGTGTAGGATAGTGAACAGTTTATCCCAACATTTATTATCTGACTGGTTGATGCTGGGTGGCTTTGTAGGTTGACACCACTCACTGCAAAACGCTAAGGTAAGGTGCAATGGTATCTCTTCATGTGGCCCTGTGGGGTTTTGTATATTTAGTAATAACTTAAAAATTCATGGAGACGCTCAAGTCCCATGAGAGTAGCTTGCAACAACCTGGGGGAGGTCCCTGAGAGTCTGATCCATGACAATGCCAAAGTTCTCTGGCTGGAAAGGCTTGCAACTTCTGGAGGGTTCTGCTCTCCCTGTGCCTCCTGACTATCTTCTTCCCTAGGGAGGTCGTTCTAGATCCCCTCTGAGCTACGGCCCCAGAGCAGTGGTTCACACACCGGCCCCAACCCACCCTGGGTGGTCCCCTAAGGGAAGTCTCCTGGCCTAAGAGTTCCCACGTCCTTACTGTCAAAGAAGACGGCTGCATTGTTGACCAGCACGTCCAATCCCCCGTACTCCTTGCGCGGAAGTCACGCAGGGCGCGGATGCTTTGCCGGTCGTCTACGTTCAGCAGGTGGAAGCGCGGACTCAGGCCCTCGCCCTGGAGCTGCTGCACGGCCGCCCGTCCCCGCGCCTCGTCCCGTGCCGTGAGCACCACGTCCCCGGAGAACCGCCGGCACAGGTCACGCACGATGGCCAAGCCGATGCCTTTGTTGGCCCCGGTCACCAGCGCCACGCGGGTGTCTGAACACATAGCTGTGTGGAACGCAAGTGAGGCTCTGTGTGTGTAGCGGATGGAGCTGTGGGCCAAACCGAGGGCAAGGCCTGGCCACAGTCAGAGATGCCAGTAAAACTGTTTCTGGGATCCAGTGCTGTGAGTCCTAGAGCCCGAGGCCCCGCCTTCGTTCTTCTATGAAAGGAGGGGACAATATTCCAGAAGGTTTCCTAATGACGCTATAACAAATCTGTACCTCTTGGGGCTGCACCCTGAGGCCAACCGGGACTGTGTCCTCTTAGGATCTGTCCTCTGGGCCCAGCATTAGTTCTGGTTGGACTGCTTTGCTATCCAAAGAAAGGTGTTGGTCATAGGTTAGTAGGGGCTAGAGATGCATGGTAAGTGAACTAATATTATTTTGGAGAAACCTCAACAGAAAAAAAGGAGTACAGATATTGTCTCAGGAACGTGTCCTTCTTCTGTAGAATGGGAATGGATGCTTTCTTCCAAGATGCAGTGAAATTACTTTTTTAAAAAATTTGTAATGTTTACTTATTATTGACAGAGAGAGAGAGAGAGAGAGAGAGAGAGACAGAGCATGAGTGGGGGAGGGGCAGAGAGAGAGAGGGAGACACAGAATCCAAAACAGGCTCCGGGCTCTGAGCTGTCAGCACAGAGCCGGATACGGGGCTCAAACTCACGGACCGTGAGATCATGACCTGAGCCGAAGTCGGATGCTCAACGGACTGAGCCACCCAGGCGCCCCTCAGTGAAATTACTTTTACAGGGGAACTGTCGGAGGACACAGACTCCTTTGCTTTTTTAGGAGAATCTCAAAGGGAAGAAACAGAGAATTAGGTCCTGTGCTGAGACTGGGGTGTGAGCAGGGCTTCTCCTTCTGTGTAATTCCCAATGGGCCCCAAGTGGGAGGGAATGTTTATGAACACTTACTGTGGCCAAGGAGTTGCTTCGAATGTTTGATCTAATGGTTACATAATCTCCTGTTTGCCTATACTGCCTATTTCTTATGTTTGTCCAAGGTCACAGTTGCTAAGTGTTATATACAAATAGGTGTTATTTTTAAAGCATCAGGGAAAAAAGATCTCTGTGATACCGGGGTACATTTCCAACCCAGCAGTAGACATGCTACTGTTTTGTCCTAGATTTTGTTATTCATCGTGGGTCAGTTTAGAAAAGCCAAATAACAGAGAAAATTCATAGCCCTTCTGAAGGGAAAGACTTTTTTTTTTTAATTTTTGTTTGTTTATTTTTGAGACAGAGAGAGACAGAGCATGAACAGGGGAGGGTCAGAGAGAGAGGGAGGCACAGAATTCGAAGCAGGCTCCAGACTCTGAGCTGTCAACACAGAGCCCGACACGGGACTCGAACTCACGGACTGTGAGATCATGACCTGAGCTGAAGTCGGACGCTTAACCGACTGAGCCACCCAAGCGCCCCTGAAGGGAAAGACTTTTGAAGTATGGACCCTAGTCCACACTTGCTTGCAGGGCCCATCAGTTCTCATTTCTGTCAGCCTGAAACCCCTGGTGAAGACTGAAAAATAATCACGAGGAAGTCTGTACAACATGGATGCTTCTGTGAGGGGTGGGAGGTGGTGGGAGGCCCCCTGGGAGCCAGGCTGGGTGTGGGGCAGTAAGAAGCTCCCCTCTGGGCCCTGGAGGTGTCAGGCCCCAGTCCGGGGACGCCTACGGAGGGCACTTTGCACCGCCCTTGTTTGCAGCCTGCTCACCTGTATTAGTGCCTTTACTCTTCTCGGCAATCCTATGAGTGCCCCTGAACTGTACGCTTGAGGAGATTGACAGACAGCAACAGGCAGGGTTTTGCTCAAGGTCGTTGCGTAAGGCAGCAGAGCCAAGACCTTTTTATTTCCAGATGTTTGTCTTGAAAGCTCTCAGAGAGAAAAGTGGGAAGAATAGGACTGCGGACACCCATGTATCCTCCAAACTAGCCCCAACGATGATGAGTATTTCACTTTCCTTATATGTTCATCTTCTGTGGAGGCTTTGCTGAACTGTGTTAATGTTACACACTTGGTGACCATTTATCCCTACATGAATAGCACATTAGCCTTGAGGAGATTTGACAGTAATCTTTCATATGCACTGATACCAATCCATATTCCCTTTCCCCCCTTGTCTCAGGTTGTCTTATGGATGCACCTCTAGTGCCCACTCCCATTTCACACCTTGCAGCTCCTTTTCCTCCAATGACTTTGGTATTTAACGAGACCACAGTGAATGTCTATCTGTGGTGGGGTTGCCCATGTCATAGTAGAGGCTGGTAAAGTATGCTGGCTAGGGATACCCAGCCCCATTCATGAGATTATAAGTCATCTCTGTTGACTTTCAAGCTAGAACGGCAGATTTGAGTAGGTCCAACAGAGACCATTGGTGTACAAAGGCAACAATATTCACTATTTGGCTCATTCACTAATGTTTACCAACCCCTGAGTTAAACTGTCCCTTCTCTTGACCTAGCTTATGGTCTGTTAGAATTTGGGCTGGTTGGCATGAAACAATTTGCACACGTGGACATTTACTTAACCTGTTTATTCATCTATGATGTTAATTTATTATTTTCATCAATTTCATTTTTTCCCCTTATATATCACAGAAGAAATCACAAAAGACTTCACAGAATTAGTAGCCAATTCATTGTGAGTGTTTGGTATGGACAGTTATTCTTCCTTTTATTTATTTATCTTTTTGCTTAAGGTAATTGTTCACAGTGTAAGAGTTCTTTTGGTCAAATCATGGCAGTATCATAATGGGTCCCACGGAGGGAACTGAGGGTAGGGTCCCCATTGTTCAACTTTCTTCTCCGTAACAAACTCCCCGTGAGGCCCCTTAGCATCTGAGGGCAAAAGGGCCAAGTAGACGGGGGTCTCTGCTCCTTCTTCTGGGCTTTTAATGGCTGTAGGTCCACCCATGTCTGTTCTCACCCACCCAGGGGAGCAGGCATTCAGGAGGATCCTGTCTCCCCTCCTCTGCTCCCTCAGTTTCCTGGCATGGATTCTGTACAGGACGGTGACACCCATCTTTGACACTCCATATGTGAGTGCCCTCGTATCAGGCCAGCCCTCCTTCCTGTGTACCCCACTCTTTGTGTCTTCCACGAACTTGTTCATGAGCCCCACCAGCTCCTCCTCTGTGATGGTCTCACTTCTAGAATTCTGCAGTTCTGAGCTGCAGTTCTTAAGAGCTATGAAGCTCGTTATGCTAGACACAGTGACCACTCTGCCTAAAATACAACACAAATAGTCACATAGAATCACATGCATGAGAATGATGAGTACCAAAATTCCTGCATTTGTCCATTTGGGAGACAATTAGCAGTATACTAAGAGTGTTAATGTAGTCTTCTTATATAAGTGAAGGATACGATACAGTTTTGACCTTTGTAACACTCATAATGTCTCAGATGATGTCAGAGAAATGATCTACTGGAGAGCACAGTGCCCAGATGTCCCATAAAGAAAAGAGAGTGTGGGGCACCTGGGTGGCTTAGTTGGTTCAGCGGCTGACTTTGGCCTGGGTCATGAACTCATGGTCCGTGGGTCCGAGCCCCGCGTCGGGCTCTGTGCTGATAGCTCAGAGCCTGGAGCCTGCTTCGGATTCTGTGTCTCCCTCTCTCTCTGCCCCTCCCCTGCTCATGCCCTGTTTCTCTCTGTCTCAAAACTAAAAATACATTAAAAACAAAAGAAAAGAGAGTGATTTATATGGGAACATGCCATCTGAACGTGAGGGGGCTCTCACTGCAATTATGAGTAGAGAACCACTTTTCTTCACAGGTCGCCTTTGAGACCATCTTAACATCTTATTGTCTCATGGCCAGTGCTCTATGAATGGTTGTCTATAACAAACAAGCAATTGATCAGTTTATTGATTACCTTTTGTAGGAGAACAGACTGCATGGTTTTGTGGGCTGTTGCTCTGTTGTAACCAGGTAAAAACAAATCACCTCATGGGCTAATGTGCATGGCTATTTTCTCTATGTTGGGATTTCATCAACGGAAGCAGTGAGAAATTACCAGGCAATATGGTCATGGGAAGGGGCTGTGGAACAGTGACATGTTAAAGAGGTGCTCTAAAAAGAAATGCTACAACACGGATGAATCTTGGTAACATTACCCAAAAGAAAGTGGCCAGTCACAAAAGTGACTATTCATTATATGATTTTCTTTATGCAGGATGTTCAGAAAAGTAAATGTTCAGACAGAAAATAGACTGGAGGTTGCTTCAGGTAGTGGGATTGCAGGAAAAGAGGGCTGGTGCTAAGCGCACAGGTTCTCCTCGGGGTGATGACCGTATGCTAATCTTGAAGCGGTGATCATTCCACAAGTCTGTCCATATACTAAACTCCACTGAATCGCATATTTGAAATGGGTGACGTGTATGATATGTAAATTGTATCTCAGTAAAACTGTTAAAAGTGTAAACCAATTTCACAGTTGTCACTAATTCTTTTTAAAAATATAGATATTCATAAAAGCGAGCAGTTATTGACATGTATAAATAGTTTACTATTTTTGTATTTAAATGAGTATCTTTTGCCCAATAGAAAGGTTATGAGAATGTACCAATGATAAGAGCTTCAAGAAATTTAGGAAACTGTCCCTGTTTTATGTCAATATCCTGGAAAGACAGAATGGCAGTGCCATATAAGTTCACTGGGCGAGACAATGCATGACCCTGTGACTCTCATTAAGTGGTGTTTAGAGATAATTAAAATGAGTTAAAGAAACTCTCTTAGTAATGTAACTATTTTCTAAGGTGAACACTTTTTAGAAAGGGGTCAGTGATTCCAGTCTTTCCTTTCATCTACAGCATGTTAGGTGTAAGTTTAATGGAACATATCTGTCAAATGTTTAATAAGCACCTGTCAGATTTTATTACTGACCACTAATCATATTTATTTTACTTTCAAAAAGATTATCTGCCTGTGTAATAATAAAAATAAAATATGTTTTAGGAATCAAAATTGCAACACATAGAAATGTTTGAAATAAAAAAAGATGGGGGCAGAAGAACCCACACTGGGTAACTCGTATTCCAGAAAGGCAGCTGCATTTACTCACAGGGGTTGGAACCATTTTCTTATGTACGTTTAGTATAGTCAGTAGAGGGAGAATCTCTACTAATTTTCCGTAATGACGTGATGACCTCTTGTCTATTCTGTATTGTTTATCTCAGGAAGTTTAGAATCACCTGTGAGAATGCTTACTTGGGTATATGAGAGAAGTCAGATGGGGAGTAAAAGGTTTTGTGTGGAAATTCCTAGATGTGGATGCCACAACCATTCTCTCTTCCCAGGCATATCCCACCCACTGACCACATCCCCAAATGGACAGGGGGGCTGTTAGGGGACTTCTCCTTGGAACTGGAAGAGATGGTAGACCCTTCTGGTCTGACAGTTCAGAACAGGACACACACAGGAATGGGAAGCATTTGTGGAGTTTACACAGCAGAGATTCTGATCCAAACATTTTGTCTCCAGCGTGGACTCATGGCTTTTAAGAGTTATTGTGAGGACTGTGAACTGAAATGCATACAGTCTATGCACAAAGAAGTGTATGGGCCATCCCGATGTCCTTGTTTTATGGGTGTATGAGTGCATGGGAGTGATGTGTGAGTGTGAGTGTTTGAGAAAGAGACTGTGTGTGTGACTGTGTGTGACACTGTGTGTGAGGTGGTATGTAAAAGGGTTGCCTTGTCACAGTCACTGTGAAAAGCTGGTAACCTAGGTAAGAAAGGACTCTTGTGCTGGTGCGGCCAGGGTGTGTGTTGGGCTTACAGTTTATCCAGACCATTACTGTGTATGTGACCAGGGATTTATTGTTAGGAAATCTCTCACTGTCTCCTACTCTTCAAACCTCACTGTCCTCAAGCAGAGCCACAGTGATCTACACAACACAGGATATTTTAGACATCATCTCATCTGGGGTCACAAAGTTCCAGTGCATTACTTGATTCTCAAGGCTATTCAGAGTCTATAATTCCAAGCTGGTTTTCATGACCTTTGATGATTTAACATTCATCACATTCCCTGGAAGATTCATGTTTTCTAATATCAAGAGGACCAGTTGTTAAGCCTCTGGACTGACAAGAGATTTTTAGAAAACACTTCAAAGTTTTAAAATGTGCCTCCTGTGGTTTTCCATGAAACACCTGGGCTCTGTAATAAGGAAGATATTGGCCCGATCAAGCACAGTCCTCTTATTTTCTGTTTCTCTGGCATTACTTTGTAAGGCTTCATTTGAAGAAAGGAGATGTAGGGAAAATGATGTGAGGTCCTCGAGGAGTGAGAAGATCCACTAGTTTGGATGTCACATGACCTCCGTCTGCAACCAGATGTGCTTGTGACCTTGAGATCCATTATTCCTCCATGTTCTTAATGGGGACCATATATAAAATGCCCAGCACATTACATCTAGAATGTCTGCCCATCTATCCTCTCTAGAATCAATATGTCAGACAATGTGTGTGTGTGAGTGAGATACCTTTACTATTGTGATTTTTGCCACCAAATTCCTCAGTAGCTTTTCAGGCTATAGGATGTTGCAAAGCAGTACCTTCTTTTTTAAAAAAAAAATTTTTTTTCAACGTTTATTTATTTTTGGGACAGAGAGAGACAGAGCATGAACGGGGGAGGGGCAGAGAGAGAGGGAAACACAGAATCGGAAAGAGGCTCCAGGCTCCGAGCCATCAGCCCAGAGCCTGACGCGGGGCTCGAACTCCCGGACCGCGAGATCGTGACCTGGCTGAAGTCGGACGCTTAACCGACTGCACCACCCAGGCGCCCCAAAACAGTACCTTCTTAAATGAGTGTTGAGAACACCTTCTTTAAGGTTTCCTTGGTAAGTGTAGCGTTAATAAGACTGTATTTCCAACTACTACATTAAGTTAGTATCTGAAGAAGAATGTTCAGATTTCCAACGTTTGCTCAATTCCTTAGAGTACTTTAAGTTAATATCTGATGAAGAATGTTCATATTTCCAACATTTGCTGGATTCCTTAGAGATGAGGATACTGTAATATCTTTTTGAAATAAAACCATAGAATAATTTAAAGAGAATAAATGGGAGCAACAGCTTATTTCTCTATAGAGAATAATTTTCAGGGCACCTGGGTGGCTATATCGGTTAAGTGTCCAATGTCAGCACAGGTCATAATCACATGGTTCGTAAGTCTTGGAGCCTGTAGCCTGTAGCAGTTATATATATACACGTATGTACATACATACATACATATATACATATATGTATGTACGTATGTATATAGTGTTTTTATGGTATCCCGGAAAGATGTTTGTCATGGATTGCCAAAGTAGCAATTGAGATTCTACTGGGTTGCTCTACACATTGAGTTTCCTCACAGTCAGTGTAGAAATACAAGTTCACAGGGAGGAAATTATTAGCCCTTTTGATGTGAAACACTTTTAAAATGAGGACCCTACCCTTCTTTTCTGGGTCTACCAACTTTCATTTGGGTAAGCCTGAAAATCCCTGGTGAAGAGTGAAAAGTAATCAGTGAGTAGAGGCACCTTTAGAACAGGGATGTTAGAACATGGACAACAGCAGATGTGTTGCCCATGATATACTAGAGGCTGGTGAAAAATGCTGCCTGGCACATCCAACCATGCTCATTGGCTCTAGGTTCTTTCAGCTATAAGAGCAGATCTGAGTAGATCCTATAGGGACTCCGTCTCCTGCAAATGTAAAACACTTATTTGTCCCTTTCTATGTTTGCTTCCCCTTGAACTAAACTGTATGTAACTTCTCTTGATCTAATTAGGTGTATTAGATTTTTCAGGAAGTTTTGAATATACAGTCTATACACACAGGCATTCATAAAGAACCATTTATCCATTTCTGGTGTTCACTATTTCACTGATCTCTTTTGTCTCTGCCTTTTCACAGAAAAAAAATTTAAAAAAGGAAAAAAAAAAAAAAAGAGGTTAGAACGGGAGGGAGCCAAAACATAAGAGACTCTAAAAACTGAGAACAAACTGAGGGTTGATGGGGGGTGGGAGGGACGGGAGGGTGGGTTTTGGTTATGGAGGAGGACACCTGTTGGGATGAGCACTGGGTGTTGCATGGAAAGCAATTTGACAATAAATTTCATATTTGAAAAAAATAAATAAAAATAAAAAAAAATAAATCCTCTATAGAATTAGCAACCTAGTGAAATTAAATACTAGTAGGGATATTTCACACTTTGGATAGGGATACTATTGACATTGAAAGAGTCCTTTTGGGCAAGGGAGGGGGTATCACAGAGGGGCCCATGGATGGAGGTGTGAATTCAGCTCTCCACTGTTGAACTTTTTTCTGTTTAATAAACTTCCCATGAGGCCCTTCAGCATCAGAGGGCAAACGGGCAAGGAGATGAGGGTCTCTCTCCTTCTTTTGGGTTTTTAGAGGCTTTAGGTCCAGCCATGTCTGATCTCACCCACCCTGCCAGGGCAGCAGGCATTCAGGAGGATCTTGTCCCCTCTCCTCTGCTCACTCAGTTTCCTGGCATGGATTCTGGACAGGACCGTGACACCAATTTTTGTCACTCCATATGCAGTATCAGGCCAGCCCTCCTTCCTGTACATCCTGTTCTTTGTGTCTTCCACGAACTTGTTCATGAGCCCCACCAGCTCCTCCTCTGTGATGGTTTCACTTCTGAACTTCTGCTGCAGTCCTGGGCTGCAGTTTTTAAGCGATCTGAGGCTCACTATGCTCACACATCGACCAATCTGCCTAAATTACAACACAAAATGTTATGGAGAAGGGCAAAGAAAGATGAATTCCAGTTTCGCTAAGATTTGGTACTAGAAAATTTCCACTGAAGTATCATGAGTTTGCTGTGAGCATTAATAAAGACTGCCTGCATGAGTCAAGGACAGGATGGTCCTTAACTTGTTATACCCATAATGTCTCCGATGATGCTTGAGAAATGCTCCGGTGGGGAGGGCACCAAGCAGATGCTCCACAGGAAATCGGAAATGGCTCCTACAAGAACAGGCTAAGGAGAATATAAAGGACACTCACTGCCTTCATGAGCGGAGTACCTCTTTCCCCTCAAGGCCACCTCTGGGACCACCCGAGGATTTCATGGTCGCTTGGGCCATGCTCTACAAACAGATCTCTACCGACCAACAAAGAGCTGACTGGTTTAAGGAGGGCAGCTACATCTACTCTGCTCAAGGATGGTAAAAGCAAATTAGTAGAGTGGCCTGACTTGCACGGTGATTTCTGTCTGTTTGGGTCTCTAACTTGCGTGTCTATAATGTTATGGCCTGAGAATATGGTCATGGGGAGAGGCAGTGGAAAGCTGGGGATTGAAGGGTGCCAATACTGGGCGTGGCCCTGTGGAAGTCACAATGGGAATGAAAGGGAGGGATTAGCCTAGGACACGCCAGTGCTCATCATTAGAACTGCTTCCAGGACTGGAATGGGACTGGGCCAAGCAGGTGGCTATTCCAGTGTGTCTGTGGGAAGTGGCAGGCGAATCCATGACATGCGTGGAGGTGGGGGAGAGCCAGCAATGCAGAGATGGGATAATTGTGGACAGGGACTCTTGCACCCTCTGAGGCAAAAAAATTGCCGAGGACCCTTATGTTTCTCTGTAAGACAGACCAAGGTTGTAGAAGGTTATGGGAGAGACTATCCACAGCTGGCCAGTTGGGTGAAGGTCGTAGCCTGGGAGGCTACTAATGGTCCAGACAACACACTATTTCTGGACGTGGGTTTGTGTACGCAGAAGATGCCGGTGTAGAGAGAGAGGAGAGCAGAAGATACGGGAACAATTTGCGCTGACGAGATACGTTTCTGCAGGCCAAGCAACACATTTTCACCTGCAGAGAAGTGGTTCCACAGAGAACTGTAACAGGCATCTGAAACCTTGGTTGTGTCAAACAGGAGGCAAGGGTATGTAGGGCTCACACACGTTCACGAGCAAGGATTCACACTCAACATGAGCGGGGCCAAGGGAGATCCCTCACTGGACAGAGTTTTCGGCTTCGCTGGGGAGTGTGGGGGACAGGGGGTGGGGGGGGGATGCCGAACTGAGTATACAATTCTTCCCTACATCCTCCCAACTTCCTTTGCTTCTAACTCATACAGTGGTCCCGGGACCAGAGCTGCAACTGTGGACACGGGAAGCAAGGCTTATCTCTGGGCAAGAATCTGGCACCATAGCTTTAAAACTTTAGTCAGAATTCCTAAGGGCACAATGGAGTATATTGTGCCTTTCCCCATCTGACAAAACTGGGGAGACAGTGAATGTAGCTGTACTGTGTGTGTAGTATTGAGACACCAGCTCGTTTGGGACCTGTGCAGCCCTATCCTATACGAATGTGAGTGGACCGAAATGGAAGGCACTTGCTAGATCATGCCAGAAATACCACCACTCGGGCCCAGCATCACACCCACCTTGGGGTTTCATTGGAGGCAGCGGTTTTGTGCACATGCCTCAGCTACCAAAGAAGTTTATTTTCATCATCACTTCTGCTTGAATGTGAAACGGTGTCGGATCATTTGCTTCTCGGGAGAAAGAGAAGCATAATAGCAGCTGTGTGGCCAAATTCCACAGACTGACATATAGAAGAAGAGTGCACGTGAAATCTGGTGAATTTTGTGTAAAATTGGCCTCTAGTTAGTAGTATTGTGCCAATGACAATGTCCTCATCTGATGATGTTGTAGAATGTTGTAAGATGGCACCATCTGGGGAGGGTGGGTGAAAGGTGCACACATGGGATCTGTGTTCACCAATTTGTGCCATTTTCTTGTTTATTTCATCCTGTATTAAAAATTCACCCAACTGCCCTAAAGTCCAATCCCAGAGAAACCGTGTGACAACGTGGAAATAATCCGAGGAGTCCGAGAAACCAAAGGTCGCTCTGGATGAAAAGTGCTGTGATTTCCCTTGGACTTGGCAGATTTTAATCAGTAATATACTACTGAAATAGAGAATTGGGTCCAGCGTGAACTGAACTCAACTTGGATTTGTACAGAGGTGGCTGAGTGTTTTAAAGGGTGAATAAGGGTGTAGAGATGGGGAATGGAGGGGCTTGAGTAGAGTCAGGGAAGTGAAAAATTACCCAGAGTGGGTCGTGTAAATGCCACGAGGCCAGCTGTATGTGCCGCACAGAGTCTGGGAGACCGAGGCCCTATCTTTTCTGATGATTGCATTTCAAAGGAAGGGCTTTCCAGTGCTTGAGAAAGACACGACTCGGTTGTAGGAGATAGATACGTACCTCAAATGGACAAAGGAAGGACCCGCAAATCGTGAATCCTTTTTAGTAAATCCTCTAAGAAAGGGTGGTGAAGGGCCTATGATCAATTGTTGGTTAGAACAAATAGTAAATTCTTTTTGGCAGGTATAGAGGGCTAGGGTCATTTAGGGATGTGGCTTGAGCTGTTGAAAAGCATGTTAGGGACACCTGGGTTGCTTGGTCTGCCAAGTGTCTGCCTTTGGCTCAGGTCATGATCTCACAGTTCGTGAGTTCGAGCCCGCCTCAGGCTCTGTGCTGACAGCTCGGAGCCTGGAGCCTGCTTTGGATTCTGTGTCTCCCTCTGTCTCTGCCCCTCCCCTGCTTACACTCAGTCTCACTCAAAAATAAGTACACATTAAAAAAATATTTTTTAAGAAGAAACTCTGTGTTCGCTTTTTAAAAATATGATGTTAAGTGTTTTAATATGTGTGTGGGGGGAGCGGATGAAATCAGTTGGGCTGAGTTTGTACGTTTTATAGGTCAGGGCTGAGGTCTAGTTGAGAAGCCCCAGAACAGCCTGGCTGGAGAGTGCTGAGGACAGCATCTTTGTCAATTCCCATGTTGAAATGGGAGTAGGTATTATTCTCCTCCCTCATAAAAGGAAAATACTTGTTTCATCTGATCCTTTTCTATCTCGAACGCATTTGTGTGAGAATGTGATACTTGGAGCTGCAGCAAAACTGTCTTGACACCATGAGGAAGCAAACTAACAGATGAAAATTAGAGAGAGCCTTGATCCTTGATGACGGCATGAATCATAGGTCCAAATCTGGATCCAACTATTTCCAGGCCCCCCCTTCCCCCCTTCCTTTTCAAAAAACGTAATTTTAGAAAAATACACTGAAAAGTTGCGAATGTAGTAGAGAATTCCCGTGTACTCGTCATCAAATTCTCCCTATATCAACATCTTACTTTTATTGGTCACGTTTGGCAGAAGTAAAGAGGCAACGTCGAACAGTAGTAGTGACTATGCTCCGTGCTTTATTTGGATTTTACTGGCCTTCCCCGGGCAAAGTCCAGGCAAAGGTTGCCTGGTAGGGCCGGACGCTACCTGGGCTCGAGTGCCAGGCGGAGGTCAGTAGATGGAAGGATCGGGCGGGGCCTGGCGGCTTTACTGGCCGAGCCGAGGCGGGACGCGCGCCCTAGGAGTTTCGTTCCCTCTACTAGGGAAGGAAAGCCTCCGCAGGCCAGCTCTACTCCGTCGAACCCAGCCTCGACGCCCCGGGACCGCTGGGTCTTCTCATCCGTGACTCCGGCTGCGCGGGCCGGGGCGGAGCGGCCGTGGCGTTTCCGGGAACCTGGGCGCACGCGCACGCGAAGGCGCAGGCGCAGGCGCAGTCGCACGCCAGGAGGCGGGGGCTGCAGCACCGCGGATCGCCTGAAGACTTGGGTTGGTCAGGACTCGAAGCGGGCGTGGCTGCTCGACCTCTCCGTGTGACGCTGGGCTCTTGCC